TATTTCTTGCCACTCCCTTCTGGCCTGCAAAGTTTCTGTTGAGAAATCAGCTGACAGTCATATGGGTATTCCCTTGTAGGTAACTGAGTTTCTTTCTCTTGCTGCTTTTAAGATTCTCTCTTTGTCTTTTGCTCTTGGCATTTTAATTATGATGGGTCTTGGTGTGGTCCTCTTTGGATTCCTTTTGTTTGGGGTTCTCTGTGCTTCCTGGACTTGTAAGTCTATTTCTTTCACCAGGTAGGGGAAGTTTTCTGTCATTATTTCTTCAACTAGGTTTTCAATATCTTGCTCTCTCTCTTCTTCTGGCACCCCTATAATTCGGATGTTGGTACGCTTAAAGCTGTCCCAGAGGCTCCTTACACTATGTTCGTATTTTCGGATTCTTTTTTCATTTTGCTTTTCCGGTTGGGTGTTTTTTGCTTCTTTGCATTTCAAATCTTTGACTTGATTCTTGTGCTCCTCTGGTCCGCTGTTGGGAGTCTGTATAGTATTCTTTATTTCAGTCAGTATATGCTTAATTTCTAGTTGGTTCTTTATCATAACATCGAGGGTCTCATTAGATTTCTTGTAGATCTCATTAAGTTTATCGGCGGCTTCTAGACAGTTCTTGAGAGACCTTAAAAGTGTGATTCTGAACTCAATATCTTCCATTGACAATTTTGTCCTGTTTCTTTGTCTCCGCATTTTTTATGCTTTCTTAGTGCACCCCCTAGTGGTCTTTGTGCGCAGTCTTGTTGTAGTTAAGCCTTGATTGTTGTAGGTAATACTAGAGGGGATTTGACCTCCAGGCCAAGTGACTGTGAGAATCAGCTGTGTCTGCAGTGAGAGAACTTCTGTCCTCTAGGGAGGTGCTAATCTAGCCTTTGCCTCTGGCTATCTAGCAAATGGCTCTGTGCAGGGCTTGGGCGGGGCGGGTCGCACAGGATCAACAGGGTGGGCGGAGCGAGCAGTTATGGCTGCTCTCAGTCCCATCCCCAGAGGCTCTGCCTCTCAGAGTCCCAGCAACCGCTGCAAACCTCGGATAGAAAGCTGCCCTCGTGTTCTGACCGATGCCAGATAGTCCCGCTTCTCCCGTTTGAGTCTGAGTCCCTAGAGACTCGCCCAGAACTGGAGCTCAAGGCCTGAGCCTCCCTCCCGATTGAAAACGACACCCGCGCCCTCAGCCACCAGCCCGCTCCGCGCGCACCTCCGCACTTTAGTATTTTCCGCACTTCGCCTCCTCTGAGTCTCGGTATGCTGTTCTCTTTCCTTCTAGTTGAACAATTTCCCCTCAGCCAGCCTTCCTGTGGTTCTGGGTGATGTCCGTTCCGTCTTTTAGTTGTATTTTTGAAGTGGTTGTGCGAGGCAGCATTCTCCGGTGTTTACCTATGCCGCCATCTTGGTTCTCCCCTTCAGTTATTCTTATTGCTTTTGGATGGGATATCTACCTATTATTGAAGGGGCATTTTCTATTGTATCGCAAACCAGCGAGCTAGACAAGATGCCTTAATGAGCCAATTAGTTAAGAGTCACCTTTATTGCCGAAATCAGTTTGGCTCGGTGGATGGAGCATCGGCCTGAGGACTGAAGGGTCCCGGGTTCGATTCTGGTCAAGGGCGTGTACCTGGGTTGCGGGCGCATTCCCAGTGGGAGGTGTGCAGGAGGCAGCTGATCGATGTTTCTCTCTCATCGATGTTTCTGGCTCTCTGTCTCTCTCCCTTCCTCTCTGTGGAAAATCAATAAAATATATTTTTAAAAAAACGTCTTTATTGCTCACAGGTTCAGAGCAATTGTTGTCTTGATGTTGTCCTTGTTTTTAGTGCTGTGTTGATGTCTACACATTCAATGAAGCAGTTACTCCTTTCAACTTTAGGACCAATTCTGGCTCAAGAAATACATTCATTGGCGTATGGAATCAACGGTTGTTGACTGGGTGGGGTGTTGTTTCAGGTTTAAGAAAGTCCCAGTAGCCTAGTTTCCTTGAAGCCCCTTTAGCTGAGGTCAGAATAATAAGGAATGTATAGGTCCACGGTGGATTTGGCAGCATTTTTTTTTTTTTTCTTCAGTGACAACTGATGGTTTTAGTGTCTTTGGTTACAAATACTGTTGGGACATACTGATTTTTATTGCATTGCTAGGTCTAGTTGTTGCCAAAGGGATTTCTTTTGGAATTCATGCTGACAAACTTTATGGGGTCCTCTGATTGTGTAGACTGTGGGGAATTCATAGATGTTGCAGGGGTTCCTGTGATTCCAAAAAACACAAATTTGCAATGTTTTTCACAGAGCAGGCCACAAAGTCAACGTTTGTGCAAGTGCAATGGTTGATAGAGAAAATTCTGACTCTTGGGTTTGACCCTAGCCATCTGTAAGTATGTTTGATTACCCATTGTTCCATTGGACTTTTTTTGCTCCACTGAGTTCCTTTCTATCTTAATTTCACTCTTTTGAAAAAAATCTTCACTTGTGTATATTATTCTCTATTACTTTTCAGAGGAATTAGAAGGTAGTAAGGGAGATAGGACGACAGAGAGAGAAACATTGATGGGAAAGAGACACATTGACTGGTTGCCTTGTGTATATGCCCTGACGGGGGCTGGCAGCTTATCACAACTCAGATTTATGACTTTGATGAGGAATTGAACCCTCAATCCTTTGCTGTGCAGGCCGTCACTCCAACCACTGAGCCAGCCAGGGCTTAAGTCCCCTTATAGTGGTTTTTATTCATGTCTGGCTGTGTACTTGTTCTGGGAGTGGAAAATATTCTTGTATTTCCTATTTTGCCATCTTGGTAATGGCACTCACATATATCTTTTTCCTGTATGTCTTCTGTGCTTTGTTGTTCTATCAAAGCGCTGGCTTTATCTCTTTGGTTTTTCCTTTTGGATTTATATCATCTGAATTCCTGTGCTGACTCACCTGTGTTTTAGATGGGAAGAATCATTTGTGCATCACAGAAGAAAGATGACTTAGTGAATGACACAATGGACCCACACATGGTCTTGCCTTCGTGAAGGGCTGTTGGGGAGGTTTTGATTCTGTTAATGTCATAAATATGAACTCATTTTGTTCAATAGTGTTTTATTATCTCTGCCCATTCCTCACCCAGTTCTACTTCTCCTTGCTTATTGTTGGTACTTTGTAAACTACTCAGTTCTAACAGTGATCATTTCTACTCAGATTCCTAGCCCACTGAAAACCTTAACTTTGCCCTAACCGGTTTGGCTCAGTGGATAGAGCATCAGCCTATGGACTGAAGGGTCCCAGGTTCGATTCCAGTCAAGGGCATATACCTTGGTTGTGGGCACATACTCAGTAGGGGGTTTTGCAGGAGGCAGCTGATCGATTTTTTTTTTTTTTGAGGGCCTGGAGGCTTTTATTTCTCCCCTTGTCCAAGGGTGGTGGGTGGGCTCCACTACACGGCCACCTGGCTGGACCCCTGGCTTCTGGCCAGATCTGCCTCCCTCTGCTCCCGCCGCTTCTTCGCTGGAGCAGCCGCCGCTCGCACTCAAACTCCTTCATTCGCATCACGTAGTCGAGGTGCTCGCAGTAGACCCAGTCGTGCTGCTCGTGTTTGCAGGCCAGGAAGTTGGGGAAGCTGTTGCGCTTGCGTTTGAGCAGCTGGATAAGGTAGTGAGCGCAGTAGTCTCGCTGCTGGAGCACCAGCTGTGCATCATTCATCTGCTGCCGTGTGGCCACCATCTCGCGCTCCTTGCGCCCGGGGAAGCCGGGCATCCGCAGGGGGTCTGGCTCCCCCTGAGGAATCGCCCAGGTAGCGCCTGGCCAGGTCCGCTCCCATGGCTGCAGCCGCCACAGATTCCTGTTTTTTGGTTTTTTTAAAATATATTTTTATTGATTTCAGAAACGAAGGGAGAAGGAGAGATAGATAGAAACATCAATGATGAGAGGGAATCATTGATTGGCTGCGTTGGACCGAGCCAGCAACCCAGGCATGTGCCCCTGACTGGAATCGAACCTGGGACCCTTCAGTCCACAGGGTGACACTCTATCCACTGAGCCAAACGAGCTAGGGCTAGCTGATCGATGTTTGATGTTTCTCTCTCATTGATGTTTCTAACTCTCTATCCCTTTCCCTTCCTCTCTGTAAAAAAATCAATAAAATATATTAAAAAACAAAAAAGAAAACCTTAACTTCTCTAGACTTTGCAACTCTACCTTTCACAGGTCTCTTTTTACTGCAGTCCAACATTGGTCAATGCCTGCAGAGCCTTAGAGTGCACATGTGTTATTATACTGATGTTGAACATCATGTGCTCTAATACAATTGATTTTTATGGGTTTGAGCACATTCAGATTATTCTACACAGACTCAAGTCACCAGCATGAAAGGTCCTAAAGGAAGCCATTTGGGGAGGAACAATGAGCAGACCCTTGCCTCTTTGTGTCCCATCTGTGCTTCTGTCCCTCCCTTGCTGAGATTTTCACCATTGACTGACCTTTGGGGCCAAAACCTATATAATAAAAGCGTAATATACTAAGTGTTTGGTTGACTGGTCGGCCCTTCAACCATTCAAATATGCTAATGATATGCTAAGGCTGTTCAACCCCTCGCTATGATGTGCACTGACCGCCTGGGGCAGAAAGTCGACCAGTCGACCAGTTGCTATGACGTACACTGACCACCAGGAGGCAGATCCTCTGACCAGTTAGTTAGCTTGCTGCTGGTTTCTGGCCGATCGGGACTGAGTGAGTCGGGCTGGACACGCCCTGGAGCCCTTTCACAGTTCCTCCCTGGCTGGCCAACCTACTATGTCTCTCCCTGGCTCCGAAAATGCACCGGTGTGGCCCCTTTGCCTGGTCTGCGCCCTCTCCCAATGCAGGACCCCTCAAGGGATATCGGAGAGCCAGTTTTGACCCGATCTTGCAGGCCAGACAGAGGATCCCCTCTGGTGCATGAATTCGTGCACTGGGCCTCTACTACTGTATAAAACACATTTGTGGTGAAGATATTCTGTTTTCATAAGGTCAATATGTACCTCACCAGCCTTTCCTTTTGTTCAGGTTGCTGCTGTGGAGCAGAGAATGTGGAGGCACCAACTGAACAGAATGTTTCTGTAAGATTGTCACAGACAAGGAATCCCAAGTTAGCCTTGTCTTCCCAGAAGAGCCACAGTGAGAGTTGTAGACTAGTTCTGGGAAACATTTTCAAATTGACTGAGCTTCAGGGAACACAACATGGACAGACACTGTTGGGGAATGGGGCAGGTGCAAAAAAGCTCTTTTTCAAAGAAGAATTTCACCAGCAGCATGTGAGAGAGAAGACTTTCATTAGCGATGTGGACAGGACCTCACTTACAAATGGCTGCAATTTGGACGTGTCCCAGAATCATTTTACCTGGGGGAAGCTTGGGCAGGGCATTCTTACGGGGTCAGGGCATGTCCACCAAGAGAATACTCAGACCAGGGAAAGGCCAAATGATATTTTGAAGTGTGAGGTGACATTTCAAAGGAGAAAAGATTATTACATCAGAAAAGAATGCGAAGAAGACATTGGCTGCAACGATACGTTTATTCAAGACAAGGGTGTCCATGCTGGAAGTGGGTGTTTTGTTTGCTGTGAGTATGGAAAATATTTTACCAAGTGTTCCAGCTTTCATTATCAGAGATGTCATATGGGAGAAAGGTCTTATGAGTGCAGTAAATTTGGGAAATCTTTTATTAGTAGCAATCAACTTCATTATCATCAAACAGTTCACACTGGAGAAAAGCCTTATAAATGCACTGAATGTGGGAAATCTTTTACCACTAGCAGTAACCTTCGTTGTCATCAGAGGGTTCACAATGGTGAAAAGCCTTATCAATGCAGTGCGTGTGGGAAAGCTTTTACCACAATGCAAAGCCTTTGTCATCATCAGAGACTTCACACTGGAGAAAGGCCTTATGAGTGCAGTGAATGTGGAAAATCTTTTACCACTAGCAGTAACCTTCATTGTCATCAGAGAGTTCACACAGGAGAAAAGCCTTATAAATGCAGTGAATGTGGGAAAGCTTTTACGAGGATGCAAAACCTTTGTCGTCATCAGAGACTTCACACTGGAGAAAGGCCTTATGAGTGCAGTGAGTGTGGGAAATCTTTTACCACTAGCACTGCCTTTTGTTGTCATCAGAGAATTCATACTGGAGAAAGCCGTTATCAATGCAGTGAATGTGGGAAATCTTTTACCACTAGCAGTAACCTTCGTTGTCATCAGAGAGTTCACACTGGAGAAAAGCCTTATAAATGCAGTGAATGTGGGAAAGCTTTTACCAATAGCACTGATTTTTGTCGTCATCAGAGATTTCATACTGGAGAAAGACCTTATCAATGCAATGAATGTGGGAAATCTTTTACCGATAACAGCAACCTTCATTGTCATCAGAGGGTTCACACTGGAGAAAAGCCTTATAAGTGCAGTGAATGTGAGAAAGCTTTTACTAGTAGCACTAAACTTTGTCGTCATCAGAGAGTACACACTGGAGAAAGGCCTTATCATTGCAGTGAATGTGGGAAATCTTTTATCACAAGCACTGACCTTCGTTGTCATCAGAGAGTTCACACTGGGGAAAGGCCTTATCAGTGCAGTGAATGTGGGAAATCTTTTACCAGTAGCAGTACACTCCGTAATCATCAACGTTCTCACACTGGAGAAAGGCCTTATCATTGTAGGGAATGTGGGAAATCTTTTATCACTAGCACTCAACTTCGTTGTCATCAGAGAGTTCACACTGGAGAAAGGTCTTCTCGGTGTAGTGAATGTGGGAAATCTTTTATTACTAGCACTCACCCTAATTGTAATCAGAGAATTCACACTGGAGAAAGGCCTTATAAATGCAGTGAATGTGGGAAGTCTTTCACCAGGTCAGATAGTCTTCATGATCATAAGAGAGTTCATACTGGAGAAAGGCCTTATGAATGCAGTGAATGTAGTAAATCTTTTACACGTAGAAATGGCCTCCGTGAACATCAGAGAGTTCACACTGGAGAAAAGCCTTATAAATGCAGGGAATGTGGTAAATCTTTTTCCAGTAGGGGCGGCCTCCATAATCATCAGAAAGTTCACTCTGGATAAAGGCCTTATGTGTGCAATTAATGTGAGGAATCTTTCAGCCAATCTTCTCTCTTTGCTTTGCACATATGAATTCAGGTGAAAAATTTCTTATATGTGTAGAAAATGCAGTTTTTTTGTTAGGTCTTAACAATATGGCAAACTTTGTGAAATCTCATTAATCTGAATTGAATCACATACATTTAAACACAAACATTATTGAAAGTTCCCTTAAGTATTATTGGGTTTTTTTTTGTGTGTGTGTTTTTTATTATTATTCTGGAAGTGTATGTATCTATTTTGCACTTTCTTTTTAAAAATATTTTTATTGATTTCAGTGAGGAAGGGAGAGGCTAAGATAGAAACATCAATGATAAGAGGGAATCATTGAATGGCTGCCTCTTAAACTTACCCTACATCAGGGGTGGGCAACCTTTTTGTGAGTGCGTGCTAAAACCAGCAAAATCTCTAACTCAAAATTCTTCTTCGTGCCAACCCTAATTTTTTCAAAACATGTTACACCTACTTGATATCTCTTAAGGTGTACATATGTGAAGAATCTTGAAGAAATAATAAAATTCATTCGAGCAACAAAAACACAGTATATGATGATGAAATGAAAAAGTCAATATTAAGAAAAAAATTGTAAGTGGAAGATTATAAGAGAGGGTTTCACGTGCCAGCAAAAGTTACTGGCGTGCCATATTTGGCACGCGTGCCAGGGGATGCCCACCCCTGCCCTACATGGTATGCCCACAATCTGGGCATTTGCCCTTGATTGTAATTGAACCCTGGACCCTTCTGTCTGAAGGCCGTAGTTCTAACCACTGTGTGAAACCAACTAGGACTATTTCATTTTAGATTCCAAGATGTCTTGACAGATCTGTCGCTGCATCTGTTGCTGAAGGTATTTCTT